TGTGCTGATATGATGTTATCCAGTGCGTTGCCGAAAAATATATTTTCACCAAAAAACGTTCATTGTGGACTTATATTGTTTTTTGGTAACGTGCTGATGACAATTGTTTCGTATTGTGCAGGCCTCTACTCCCATCATTGGTCTAACTGAAACCTCATCAGATTCAGATGATTATGAAATTGACAACCATGATTTAATGGACTCGTCAAAGACGGAGACTTTATTTTTGACAGGGGTACTTGATGAGCTAAATATACGTTTCAATTATAGTAGCCAGGTAAGCATGGTTAGTTTACTCTGAAGCTACGGTGGTTTGGAAAGACTAGCAAAATGGTTTGGAAATACTAGCAAAATGTTGAATATGAATTCTCCGTGCATATATTTATCCAGAATGATCAGAACTTTATGAAGCTGCTTCGTGCGGAGGAGAAGCGCTTATTTGAATTTCGAGCAATTGGTGGGCGGGTAAGTTTGATGTTGAAGTCTATTATTTCTATCTCTGGCATTGATATCCAATTGTCGTAGGATTCAGGTTTACTCTTTATGCAGGTTGAACTCTCGATTAGATCAAACGATATGTTCATTGGTACAGTTCTTAAAGCCTTGGAGGTGGAAGATTTAGTTTGCTGCAAGGGGACGTCTCAAGTCTGTTTCCTAGCGAGATCATTCATCAAGAATGCAGACACGTCTTCCCTTTTAGGTGACACAGAGATTCCAACACACACTAGTAATGACTCAAATCAGTGTGAAGGAGATGATGAGTTTTATGAGGCATCGGAGAATCTTTATGATTCAGTGGATAGTCCCATGTCACCAGCTGATGCAGTGGAGTATGCTAGTTCTCAAATCATTTCGCAATTAGGTAGCTCAGCCTTTAAAGCTCCAAGTTTTACTCGCATTGCTGGTCTACTGCCTTCTGATGGTACTCACACTGAAGCTGGTGGGATGGAAGTTACTGATACCCTAGACAGTTTTGTCAAAGCGCAGATTGTCATCTTTGACCAGAATTCGCCACTTTACACTAATGTTGATAATCAGGTAAGCTGTTTCTCCAGTGATGTAGTACATCACAACTACAATTAATAGTTCCACTTTATCTAGGAGTTTGTCTTTTTTAAATTATCTTTTCTAATTTATTTTTCTAATTGTAATAGGTTTATTCTTAAATTTTATTTAGATTAGGATTAGTTTATTTCCTTTTAGAATTTAGTTTCCTTATTTTAATTTCCTTTTATTAATAGGATTAGGAATAATTTGGCCTATAAATATAGAGGTATTGTACACTTTTTATTCAATCAATCATATACCAATACAAAGCAAGTTTATTCCAATATAATTCTTATTTTCAATTCTCATTACAAGAATTTCTAAACGCTTCCGCACCATGATCTTAGCTATATAAAAGAATCTTTTTCACTTCTACTATGTCTACTGTTGATGTGACCTTTGTTGTTTTGACTATCATATGGGCTTGCCGTAACAATTTAAAATTTGAACATGTTATATGGGCTTGTCCTAATAAAAATTGGTAACTTATGAACTTGTCGTACTTTAAACTTGGTGAAGAAGTATGGGCTCGCTATAGTTAACCTTGAATAATAATGCATGAGCTCGTCATACTTAACTGAATTAATAACATATGGGATCGCCATAGTTATCCTTGAGTAATAGCGTATGAGCTCGTCATACTTAATTGAATTGATAGCCTATGGGCTCGCCATGGTAACCTTTAACAATAACATATGGGCTCATCATACGTAATCCTGTGTAACAACGTATGAGCTCGTCATACTTAGTCTTGAATGTAACCTATGAGGTTGTCATAGTTAATAATTTGATGGAGATATGGGCTCGCCATATTTTAACCGTTGAATAAGTGTATGAGCTTGTCATATTTAATAATTTGATTAAGATATGGTTTCGTCATATTTTAACTGTTGAATAATAAATGTATGAGCTTGTCATAGTTAATAATTTGATGAAGATATGGGCCCACTATATTTTAACCGTTGAATAATAAGTGTATGAGCTTGCCATATTTAGTCTTAAATGTAATGTATGAGCTTGTCATAGTTAATAATTTGATGAAGGTATGGGCTCGCCACATTTTAACAGTTGAATAATAAGTGTATGAGCTTGTCATACTTAGTCTCGAATGTAACGTATGAGCTTGTCATAGTTAATAATTTGATGGAAATAAGGGCCTCGCCATATTTTAGCCATTAAATAAGTGTATGAGCTTGTCATACTTAATAATTTGATGGAGATATGGACTCACCATAATTTAACCATTGGATAATAAGTGTATGAGCTTTGTCATACTTAGTCTTGAATGTAACATATGAGCTTGTCATAGTTAATAATTTGATGGAGATATGGGCTCGTCACATTTTAACCGTTGAATAATAAGTGTATGAGCTTGTCATACTTTCATTTTAGATGTACTTGCAAGAATTGGAGAACAAACATTTGCATTGACCAAAAGTATATGCAAGCGATGATCATGATCTTACTGGTAATACATTCGCAAGTGATACCCTGTCTCTTGGTGCATGGTAGCATTATGTTGGCCATTGTCCTCATGTTTGCGGCCATCTCACCCACTTGCCTGGCTAGACGTGTTGTGGTACTGTCTCACCTGTGTTGTGATGGGGGCGATGCATATTCACATTTGTTCGGAGGACTTCTTCTTCAAAAGCCTCCAGTTGTCTAATTCTGCCTTGCAAGCCGTAGTGGCTAGAACTCATAATGTGTATTTGGCTTTGAGCTAAAGACAAGTTTTTAAGTGCTTCCACTCTGTAGTGGTCAAGAGCCAGACCTTTCTTCAAGGTTATGCTTACTTTGGATGGCTTTTACCACAAGGACACTCAGTGATTATAGTGTTGAATTTTCCACAGATGACACTAATCTGTTGACCCCAAAAAATGTACCAATGATGTGACCAACAGATCCCAAGGCCTCTTACGTCCAAGCAAGCTTGGTTCCTGTACAGTTGGACAAACCATTAGTCACACGTGGCATTCTCTGGAGGGGGTGGAGTTAGTTGCGCACACTCCCACGGTCAAGGTAGTTGGAGAAATAGTTATATAAATGTGGGAGAGTTTTAAACGTGAGCCTCCAATATCAAAAAAGGATCGGCTTTTGGGAGAAACGAGAAGAAGATATGGTAGCAAAATTATAGGTTTAGGAGTCTAAACTTGTATTACCTTTGAATGTCACTAAGTGTGAGCTTTTATATTTGGGCAAGATGAATGAAAGCTGTTGGATGACAATGAACGTGGCCTCATCCAAATGACTGACATTTCTTGTCATAAACATCAATTAATCATAATCTTAAATGCTAATACCATTTTTGTATCCATAGGGCCTAGCTTGCGGCCTTGGACTTGAACAAATAGGTTGGCGGTGGGGCAGTGGCAGTGAGTTATCTTGTCAATCACATAATACAAGATATGTTTAAGATCTCTTCACCGTCTCATCCTGGACCATCTCTTCCCATGGGGTCCGCGTGTAATGGGGTTGGTCTAACTTCGCTTCGCGGGGAAAGTAGGTCATCCGCGCTTGAGGGTCGGTCCAACTCCGCCTCATGTTAGTGTACAGGGCATGGAACCGTCGAACTGTTTGCCACGTAGGATGATTGAGACAACGTGGGGGTCCTCGTGTAGTGAGGCGTAACAGTATCATTAGACATAATACAATCTACCTGTAATTTCTAGCATCTTTCAAGAAATGTTTTCTTTTGGGACTACTTTCAATTTGAAGAATAAAAATAGTTGTTCGCACAATACCTATTTTCTTCAGCTACGCAAAGAGAAATAAGCTGAAAATCGTCCTTATTTGTTCCTAAACCTTTTTCTTCATGAGCTCTTTAGCTTCTTAGAGGTTCAAAAGATCACTTAATATCTTTAGATAATGTTTACTCGTCTGGTCCTCCAGAAATCAAAATCTCCACTTGAGTTTCCTTAGGAATTTGATAATATTTCTCCTTACATAACAAGTGGAAAAAACTTTCACATCTCTTGATTCAATTATCACATTAGATTCTTAGTATTTGACATGCTATGCTATCGTAACATATCCTACAAAAGCACACTTTATGCCCCTCGGACCCAACTTATTTCTTTTAGAGGTGGTGCTCTTACCTTATAAAAGACACTCCACCTTCAAATAAACAATGTTCGATTTTCAACTTTCGTTACATCTACCTAGATGCCACGTCATCCCTAAAAAGGATCCCATGGAACAAATGTTTACACCTTGATCGCTAATGCTTGTCGAAAAAAGAGTGCCTCAGCCACCGAAGCTTCTTTAAGAAAAAGAATGTGGAACCCAATGTTGGGAATTTACTTAACATGTACAGCGGAATATAATCAAAATTTTCAATTCCCACCAAAAATCTGTTTTATGCTCAGAGAGAAATTGTGATAGAAATTATACATTTCCTAGATTTTGCAAACTCCTTTACTGATCTTGGAACACGAACAATCACAATTTGCAATCTACAGCTATCCAATTGTCCAGCCTCCAATGGAAATCCACACAGGGAACAAGAATGAGAGAATTATGATTTCTCTTTTCTTGTGCTAGCAAGAATATGAATTGTGTTTTGTTCCATTTTTCTAAAACCTTAATGGCTTATCGATATAAGTCCAAGTGGGCTTGGTCCGTCTCTTAAACTTAACATGGTTCAATATTTAATTAATCCAATTAATTAAATTTGGTCCATGAATTAATAACCCAATTAATTAATAATGAATTCGAGCCTAATAACAAGCAACCCAATTAATTAATTGTACAACACTTGTTAATTAATTAATTGAAATCTCATTCTTCTGGTTCTCTTTTTGTGTGTGACCCATAAGTTCCCGATCACGATACCTAACGACGTGAATTATTAATTCGATCTAATCAAATTGATAAATTAAAATATCTCTTTCTAATTTATCATCAATTCACATCCGTCGTCCCAAATGACATTTAGTAATGTGTCGAGCAATACATGTAACGGGAAATGTCAAGCGGTATGATAAAACCAAAATTGTTCGTTTATTTTGAAACTAAAATATCTTCGTCAATATGATTCAATCAATTACGCTATGTGGATGTATGTCAATCTCAATTATCGATCATATCGTTCATCCCACTATTAAGTCAATATAAGTCGAAAACTCCTTTTCGACTTATGAATACACCTCGTCCAAGGATTTCTTTATTAATTTAACTAAATAAAATTTAGATCATAATATCTTACTATCTAAGAGTGACGAATCCCCTATTGATCATTCATAAACCTTCATATGATTCTTGACATACCCGAATGGTGCCTTATTAGAAACCCTTTGCAGAGCAACATCCAATATCACTAAAGTATGACTGTTCTCATATAAGGTACTATGATGACCTTAAGTAAAGGACCAATTCCACTACCGAATGTTAGATATTAACCACTGTCACTCAAGATTTTATTTATATAGATTGAGATAAGTTAAGAACTATTCTAGATCTATCTCTATAGATTAAGTTGCTTCCCCATATCTATCACGAAAAAATTATTTGACAACCATAATTTCAACAATTGAAACATAGAGACGTCGTTTCCTGTTAATAATATGTCATCTACATATAATATTAGGAATACGACAAGGCATCCACTATCTTCTTGTAAACACATGGTTTATCTTCATTCTTGATAAAATCAAACATTTTGATTGTCTCATCAAAACAAAAATTTCAGCTCATAGAGGCTTGCTTTAATCCATAAATGGATCGATCAAGCTTGCATTCTTGTTGACTTCTTTGGATTCAAAACCTTCGGGTTGTGTAATATACACTTCCTTTTGGAAGTTCCCGTTAAGAAAAGCAGTTTTGACATCCATTTTCCATATATCATAATCGTGATATGCATCTATTGCAACCAAAATTCGAATAGACTTTAGCACGACTTCAAGTGAAAAAGTTTTCATCAAAGCCAGCTCCTTGTCTTTGTTTATAACCTTTTGTTATTAGTTTACTTTGTGTATATGGATGTTTCTATCCACGTCGACCTTTTTCTTGTAAACCTATTTAAAACCTATGTGTTTTATCCCATTAGGCTCGTCGTCAAGGTCTAAACCTTGTCCACATACATCAAGTTCATCTCGAATTCTATGGCATATTGTCATCTTTT